AGTGAACATTTTTCAGACTCTTCATTGAAAACATTTCCTTGTTATGCCAAACTATTCTCTATGTAAAGATATAGTGGACTCTCTCTGGTTTGTTTCCATAGCCTGTCTGTGTGCAGCTGAGTAGAGGAACTGAAACTCCTGTTTTTATCATCTTCAGTGAATTAAGGATCTGGTGGTGAGCAATAGTGATAGTGCTGCTGCTTCTGGTTAAACAAAAGGTATACCTCTGTAGGGATCCTTCCTTAATGCTGCCAGACACAGAATAACAATCTGAGTCTGTCGGTGGCACAAACAACAATTGTTAGTGGACACACTTTTATGGCGGCATTTGTCCCAAAGGATTAACTAACGTCACATGGCAGCTATAGCAGCCCGTTTCAGAGCTATTTTCTCATCTAATTCAGGGAGGTAAGGGTTTATTTTGTATACCAGAGTTCTTGGAAAGACTGTGGAAAGACTAACAAAGATGGTTTTGAAGTGCTTTGTACAACTATCTGCAAGGTAAAATGACTGGTTTTGTCTATGGAGTCTGGTTGTCATTTTTATAATCTTTAACTGATAATCAGACTACATTGACATTTTGTTTTGCAACATTAACAGTAATCCTGCGGCGATTCAGTGTTCTGGAACCAAACTAATATTGAGATATTGTTGGCCAAAACGTTAATACTGGGACATGCCTGATGTAACGGCAGAAAACAGTCCCTACTGAAATAAGTCCAGCTATGAGTGTTCATTTTAGGACTTCATCAGGTTTCAAGATACTGAAGAACTTCCCAGAAATAAGGTCCTAAAGGAGCAATATGATCTTGGTAATTTTAGGCCTTTGTATTCAGACCAATGTGTGACAGTTCAAAAGACTGATTAAAAAAATCTCCTCCTTTTGCTGACACACCTGTCTGTCAGGGTACATCCTAATATTCTTATATCATCTGTCCTTGTGTAACCCTGACATTGATCAGGTTCACCATTATTAAGTCTGATCCAGTACTCTCACTTCTGCTCTGAGGCCCAAAGAGCCCGTCATTAGAGCTGGGTGCTGCGGAGGAGCTCGCAGAGCAGGCTGCATAGGACCCTGAACACCGGTTTGCGGAGCATGCATACAGCCTGTGATCGTCAAATTGTTTTCAACAATGCTTATGTTCCTGGTTATGTTTTTAATATTCCTTGTTATTATTTTACATGCTGATACTGATCAGTGAGAGAACACTCCCTGAGATGTATTGGGTCACCATAGTAATGTATTGCCATTGTAAGCAACATAACTGGGGATTCAATCTATGATCTTTGGGTTCGGGATTGTATGTTTGTATAGTAAAAACCCAGTCTGTGTTATTCTGGAGATACTCTCCAGATACTCAAAGCCTAATGGGACAGATTCCAGATTCAAATTCAAAAACTAAGCATCTGGGTAGTCAGGAACTCACTCTGATTTCTAGGAAACAACCATGTGAGTCAGAATTCCATTCTGATTCTAAATAGGTCAGGCTCAGGTTGCTTGTGTCTGTAGAACCACATTGCATCATGATTTTAAGCTGCACTAATCAATATTTTTAAATGAACAATGGATCAAATGACAGTGTGTCATACAAACTGTGTTACTCACAGTGATGAACCCACACAGAATTATCCCCAACTCTGCAGTTCCTCTCAGCTCTACCCAGCTTTTTTAGCCCCTTTTGTGACTTTGTTTTGGTTTTGTGGCTGACAACTTTATTATTATTATTATTATTATTATTATTATTATTATTACCCTGTTTCCAGCAGCAGCTGTTTACAGTGAAAAATCTCTGATAAACCTGCTCAGCACCAAACAGAGGCACACAGAATGACCAGCTAACATAATGGAGCATTTAGCAGCTAAAGAACCATTTGTTCTATCAGGAGTGAGACCAAACTGGAGCTTAAAGGTTTATGAGAGACTGAACCAAAACAGTAACGTTGATGGCCATAAAACACAAAACAATGAGCTGAAAGATGCTTCAAGATCCCCTCCAGACATGTATACAGATAGTCTGCTTGAAACAATAATGTGTGTTTTTCTCTTCACAAAAACACAAGATGTCTCCTCCTTCACAGTAAAGTCCATTCTTAGTACCAATGTCTACAGTGCTGCATGCTGCAGGAATGCCAAAGTACCTTTAGTCCACATTGTCATCACTTCAAATCTACTCTTGATACCTGAGGACAGCCCCTCTTATTCTGCTGTGTCTTAGTTTGTCTTTATGTTCCCTTTATTCCAGCTGTAAGATAAAATAAAAATCAGCATGAAAACTGATCATTTTGCAGTAGGGCTGCACTATATGGTAAAAACATCATATTGCGATCATATTATGATTAACGATTAGTATGGAAATTATCATTTTTGCATAACAAATTACATTTTCACTGAAAAAAATGATTAAAATCATCATGATGTGAAATGTTTTGGGGTCTGTACAAAACAAATCTGGAGAACCAGATTTGTAGGTACGGGTATCTCCACAGAACAACAGTACTTCATTATAACGCTGTTTGTCATATTTTACCTTTATCAAAAATTTGCAGCTTCTATGATTTGCATATGGCACTTGACCATATTGTGATTTTGATAATATTGCAATAAATTGTGCAGTCCTACTTTGCAGTAACCTGCCTCACTGTCAGACTGATCAGATGGAACCACTCTGCATCAACCAGAGCCAAGTGAGCCTCTGTTCCCAAAATATTGAACATGTCCTGTTTGATGGAGATCTGTTGACTGTTGCTGTCTGCAAAAATGATTTATCCTAACATGTCTCATATTGAGTCAACAATATATAGTCTACACTTGGCAAGTAAATTTAACCGTTATCTTGGATTCTTACCAAAATTTCAGCCATTTTCCCAAGATTGATATCACCATTAATATTTGATTAACAGCCTGCATCAAGCAGAAATCATTGCACTGCAGACAAATCAATTCATATAAACTCCTCAAATAAGTCTGATTAGTGTGAAAATACAATCTAGATTGTAAATATCTTGATTTTCCTTTCTTTTTTTGTAGTACACAAAGGCTACGGTCACACTGCTGGTCTTAATGCTCAATTATGATTTTTTACTGAGATCCGAATTTTTTGCGTGGTTGTTCACATTATAATTTAAATGCCACCACCGTCAGACTCCAGTATGAACAGTCTACGGCCCCGAAGTGACCCGCATGCGCAGAAACAGACGTGATGTCACACGCAGCATGCTGTGTTTACGGATGTAAATATGAATGCTACACATGTCAGCGTGTGTGTATCAATTTTAAAGTATTTGTGCAATCGGAGGCGACAAAATTATGATTGATTATGATATTGCCGCGTCCCGCCTCCTCCGGTGCAGAATTGTGACGTCTGTCTCACTTTAATGACGTAAAAGTCGGATGAAATGCGACATGACCGTTCAGACTGAGGTCGCTTTGAAAAACATCAGATATGTATCCGATTTAGAACCACATATGAAAGTGACCTTGATCGGATTTGAAAAAATCGGATTTGTGCTGTTCAGACTATCATAAAAAAAATCAGATATGGGTCACATAAAGTCAGATTAGGGCCACTTTTGCCTGCAGTGTGAACATAGCCTAAGGGACATGTTGCCATACACCACACAGACTATCATCTAAAGGGCTTATGAGTTGTAACTAATGACTTCATTAATGTTGCTAAGTTCTAAAAACTCCCTCTGACCAAACAATCCTCTAGAATTGAGATGATTAATTACCAATATTATTTATATTATTGCCAAATATAAAGGATGAATAGCTGCTAATGCAACAGTACACAACTTAGACTCCCAGAATGTGTTCTTATTGACATTTTATATATACATTTAAAGCCCCCTCCAGTCAGAAATCAGGGTTTCTTCCTGTCCCTACAGCATGATGTTTAAGGGGCGGGGCCTACCAGCAGGATTTGTGATCACAAATAGTATGGAAGTCAGTCCTGGTCCAGTATGCAACTTGTACAGTGTGATGTAGAAACGTGAAGCCACCAGTGCACATCCACTGAGAATGGACTTTACAGTGGGGTAGGAGACATCTTGTGTCCAGCAGGAAAACTTTAGAAATGAACAACATTCAGAGATTAAGGCAGAAGGAGGATATGACTTTTTAAGGATTTTAATGTGGAACAAAACATGTCAGATTTATAGCAGTTTACATGTCTTAATACATGTCTGGAGGGGGTCTTTAACCATTAATAAAGCCATGAGCTAAAATGTGAATCTGTAGCACTGAATAGTTCACAATGGGAACGAGTGTTTTCACTCTGCTGGAATCATTTGTTTCCTGTCAGTATCTTTTTTTCTCACTAAGCGCATCTTTAGTCCCGTTGGTGACACCAAACAGCACTGACACTGTCTGTCCGTCTACATTATAATAATGATGTTTCCTAATGGGCTGCTGATGTTGACATACAGCTGACAGTAACAACAAACTCTTGTTTAGTTGTGACTGGCTGTCAGATCTTTCCTCCTGCATCTCTCCTCTTCCTCCGGTAATGATGTCAAAGCACTTAATCCGCACACACAAAGATTAGCGAGGCAGGATTTAACCAAACCAGGACTCAGTGCTCTCATACCAAAGACAAACGCCAATAACAGGACAATGGAAGACAGACACTTTCAGCAAAGTGTAACAAAACACCAACAAACAACTTCATATCTGTATAATGATCCCATTGACCATTCACTCTGGAGATATAACCACTTGGCGAGCCGCGTGGCTCTGATGTGTCCGTGCGTCTTTTGCGCATCGAACTTCCCAAAATAAAAACAAGTCTTATATTAGCATTAATAATTAGAAACGTTACATAATGCGAGCTCATGCACTCATATCTCACAATGAATGTTTGTTAACAGCTCTTTATGCCAATACAATACTTTACATGGCTTTGGAATAATAACCATCACATCAGCTGTGGATGATATGTCAACATGTCAATAAAAAAATAAAAAAAAATACTCTAATGAATAAAATAAACAGTTCTTACTCTCTTCAACAATCGCTTTTAGTCCAAGTGGTGCCATGATGAGCCCTCTGCTGCGTGTCCAGCTCTCCACAGAAAACTGACCGGAGCCACAACTAATGTCAGGCTCCTAACAATAAGCTGCGCACTTCCGTTTCAACTGATTACAAAGTAAAAGCCTTCAATTGAGAAAGTAGTAAAATGGTTTTGGTAAAATAAGTACATAATATTAAATACAATGTAAAATAATATTGATTATTAATATTCATTAATTTGAGTAAAAAGCTCACTGAGTGTTTCATCAAGTAGACAAACGTTCCAGGTTCATGTTTGACCTGGGGATCAGTATGTGCAGGGGCGGATCTACAGAAATATCCATGGGATGAAAAAAGGGTGACATGGACACATTAAAGTTTGGAAGAAACATATGCTGATTTAATTGCAACCAATCACATGTATCAGTATTTGCCTGGAAAAGCCCACAAATATCTCTTAACCACTAACCATTCAACACCTTACTGTAAGATCCGGTACATCCTAAATACAGGAGCCCCCTCATGTGACATCGTCATGCCATCACATTGTAACACACACAGAAACATACAACATCACAACATCTGTGCAGCCGTGCAGACCAAAAGCACTGGCAGCTTCCACTGGGAATACAAGCAGTTTATTTAGCACTGAAATGCCATAAAACATCCTTTTAACATTGAATGTTAACAAACAGTATATTAAAAGAAGAAATGCACGAAAATGGATGAATTTCCCACATATATGCTGCGTGTGAAATAAGTTGGCTGTGTTAAAGACTTAATAAATTGAATTATATTTATTTTGGCTAATGAGATGCATCGCTGATTAACAGTAAATGTGATGCTGGTTATTTGATTATTTAACACAATAAAATGAAACATTAAAAAAGAAAACATTAATGACTCATTTGGAATTTAGAGCACAATTTAGGGTGTGCACATCTATATATAAATATATACAACTGCAGCAAGATAGGGACATGCAACCACACATGTAAATCTAACAAGGTGAGCAGAATATAAAATTATTTTCTCCTTGCATCTACAATAACAAATATAATAGATTGTATGTATGCAATACCTGATATACTGAGAACATCATTTACATGAAATACAACTTGTACTGTGAGGAAACTGAAAAATAAGGAGTGAAACTGAGTTTTCAAACTGCATTTTCTTGTGTACTATTTGTGCTGTTTACCTTGACAGCAGTCACTGGAGCCATGTTTAAGGTTTAAGTTTAATTGGCTTTTTAACACCAATCAATGAGGCTGCAGGTTTGCTGCTAAATACAGGCAACAGGCATACTCACAACAGACTATTGTTCATGGTCTTTTATTTTGAAGACAACAAAACCTTAAACTTAGTGCCTGATATTCAGTCTGACTTGCTGTGCCAGAAAGGGTGACAGAAGCCATTATATTGAAATAAAAAACTAAAAGCTTGTTTAAAACGGTACACTGCTGCAGCAGCTGATGTGGTAGAGAACTCCAGACAGTGGGACCAGAATGACTGCAGGCACAATAAGCTGATTCAGAGTGTATCCGAGGTATAGATATAATGGTTCTATGGTGCAGCTGTTGGAAGAGGATCTAAGGTCTGCAGCAGAGGAGGGGTTAGAAATGGATGAAAGGAAGTTGTAGAGCAGAGTGGAATAATAACAACTACCCCCTGGGGTCCACAGATATATGACAGGAGCCTTTAGTGAGGAGGACACTTCAGGCCAGTCTAAAAACAAGGTGACTTTTGGGTTTGGTGTCCACCAGAGGGCAGCAGAGGAGAAGTAAACGCACCATATTATCAGTTCTTCAAGAGAGAGGAGGAGAAAACAAAGAGATCTCACTCCTTCGCAAACTTGTGTCCACAGTGTTTCTCTAAGCCGTGTATTGTTTCACAGATTCCTGATTCCAACCTTAACATAGAAATAATGCGCTAATACATGTAGAGTTTTCAGAGAGTCCCAGTGGAGTGTATTGATGCACCGGCTTGATGTTGAGGTAAATTGCAGTATTTGTTGCAGCAGGGCCAGAAACTTTAACCCATGGGGGGTTCAAGAGTAAAAATCAGCCATGGACCTCCTACTGAGGGCTTTTTTTAAAGTCTAGATTTTTAAAATGTAGTTAATCATCTTCTTATACTGGCAATCTTTGGTTGAATGTCTGGATTTTTAGGAGGAGTAACTCAACTACATTGAGTTGATCTGATTGCCGTTTATTGTGTCATGTGACTGCCGTAAACAACACAACAACCTGGTTTTATTCAAAGAGATACATTTCCACACTATTGAAAAGGTGTGACCTGTTGGAGCCCACAGTGGCTCCTGACACATTCCAGTCCCCTCCACAAATATCTGAATGGTTAAACATTACACATTAAAGGTCCAGTGTGTAACATTCAGGAGGATCTATTGGCAGAAATGGAATATAATATTCATAGCTATGTTTTCATTAGAGTATAATCACCTGAAAATAACAACTGTTACCTTCTGGGTCTTCTTCTATCGAGGCTATCATGTTGAACTACAATGTTTCTACAGTAGCCCAGAATGGACAAACCAAACTCTGGCTGTAGATAGGGCCTTTCTTAGGACAACCACCGTAGTTTCTTCTTCACTCATGAAAGGCTGAGCTGTATTCAGTTGGTTGGAATCTGCAACTTCACTGCTAGATGCCACTAAATCCTTCACACTGGACTCTTAAAGTGAGGTCAACTGAATTTGAGAAATTTAGCAACCTGCTAATATATCATATATATGTATTAAAATCTGAATCCAGTATTTTTATACTGATTAGACTGAACGTTTAGGCCAACAGAAATAAATCATGTGTAAGGATTTAGTGCTTCCCCACCAGAATTGTATTCCTGGCAGTGTGGGGAAACACCTTTTAAACCTTCATGGTGAGTTTACAGGAAGCAGCTAACAGTAACACTAATGGTAAACTGAAAAAAATATAAATGTATATTTTGGTGTCACTACTGTGAAATATTTGCACTTATGCTCAATAGTTCTTAAATTCTGACTGCAGGCTGAGGCCTGGTGGAGAGGTATTTCATCCCTCCCATTTTCCCTGCTGGACTTGAACGCACCGCTGGAGGAAGGTGGGAGTTCTTCTCCTACTTTAAAGAGGGTGTGTCTCTCCGAGAAATAGCCGTCAGTTTGTTGCTCCGCCAAAGTTTTTTCCCCTTTCCTTCTTTACCTTTTTGCGCAGAGTTTGCCGCAGCCCGACTCTTCTCCAAACTTCAGACCCTTCAGGTTATGTCGGAGAGGAGGTGAGAGGGTTTCTACAGGACTCTCTGTGAACGGATTTCCTGCGTTTGTCATAAAACACCAGTGGAGCCAATCGGGGACTTTCATTCATCATGGGGGACGTGATTTCCAGTCACCTGGATGAATCCAAGCGGGAGATAATCACAGGTGAGCAGCGGTTTGTGGAGGTGCGTGCTTGTTTTGGCACATGTGCGTTTTTACGCATCGGTCGCTGACTGAAAGACTCCACGAGTTAAAAGAAATGAGAGTGGGAGTCATTTTTACCAAGATGTTAGTGTGACTGTGGCACTTCTTACTGCTCTTTACAGGCTATAGGGGGCTTTTATATGCTTCTTTAATCACCTGTGCTATCAATATTGACCTACTGTTGCTGTAAACGCGAGGTACTGAGGTTTTTAAAACACTGGGCCATGAGTCTGACGACCCCCCCCCGTTCTGAAGAGACCTGAAAGCAGTCACAAAACATACATTTAATTAGCATGTTTCCCTGTTTATTTCATCCATCTGCTCTCTGACTCTTTTTGTTAGGTTTTGTACTTGTTTTAAAGAGTTGTATGTCCCAGAGTTCCCCCTCTACCACTGCCCAAGAGCTTTTCATTATTTTCTTGTGAGGTCATTTGTTGTATTGCTTCATTTTTATTATCCTGAGCTGTGTCACTTTCAGTAGTAGAAGTGTCTGGCACTATGTAACCATGCTCACTCTTATCGAACTAAGAAAAGAACCCTGAGAAGATAGTGGCTGCACCCTTATCAGCTCTTATAAACGAGCACTTGGCCTTGTTGTTTGGCCTGTCAGAACTTGCTGGGTCATAAGTGAAGTCAGATCTTGAGCAGAGCTGATTGTAGGTACAGTACAGTGTGTGCAGGAGGGAACATGAACTGCTAATCCTCACCGGGTATCAAAGGCAGTGGTCCAGATATGTCAGAACACGTGAACCTCTTTGTAATTGTGACTGATGAGTGTGGAGCTAATGAGCTAAAAGCGGCTTGATTCATTTAACACAGGCAGCCAGGCTGTGATCAGCTGATGTTTCAGTTTTAAACTGAATCCTGGATGAATATATCAACAAATAGCTTACTCAGTGGATAGTCATGAAATGGGAACTTAATGGTTTGCTGGTGCTATTGTGCCAACCACACTATATAAACCTAACTAACTTACTAACCTAAACTAAAAGCTTTGAAGTGCTGCTATGTGTGCACTGTACCTGCTGGGAATGTAGATACAACAAGATACACATACAATGCACAGAGAGGAACTGGGGATCAACTCGGGCCCAAAGCTAAATTTTGCCCTGGGGCCTGAGGAGTTGATCTGACCCCGCCCAGGCCCACACACTGTACAATTCTGGATTTGAACTTTTTCAAAACCACGTGGGCAAATTATTACATTATCCAATTTTAACAGATGGCCAGTTGGGCTTCCTGGTCTGGACCTTGATTTCTTCATTAAGTGTTAGAACACATGCAGCTGACTACCTGGCAGGAAGAGTGCAAAGAGAAGGCTATGTTACACAGGCCAAGCGTCATCTTTTTTTTCTTTTTTTTTCCTTTTCTTTAATGCCCTGAGTGTCCAATTGAGAGTGAGGCACACGCACATGTATCAGATGTGGAATCCGAGGAATGCATGAAAAAGCGTGTCTGTCTGTGTGTGTGTCTATGTGGCTGGATGGAAACCTCCTTCAGGCCTTGAGCTGCACAGCCAGCGCCACGCAGTCAAGGCAGCCAAGACGAGACCAGTGCTTGGCTGGCTTCAAGGGAAGTGCCTGGATTTATCATTAACGCACTCCACACTCACACATTCAC